TTGTTGAGGAAGAGGAGGGCAGGCTAGCAGAAATTGTTGAGGAAGCGGAGAGGGCAGGCTAGCAGAGATTGTTGAGGAGGGGGAGAGGCCAGCCCAGCAGGGTGTTGAGGAGAGAGAGGGCAGGCTAGCAGAGATTGTTGAGGAAGAGGAGAGGGCAGGCTGCATATTGTTTAGGAAGAGAAGAGGGCAGGCTAGCAGAGATTGTTGAGGAAGAGGAGAGGGCAGGCTAGCAGAAACCATTTGATACCAAAAACCGCTTGAATATTTTCTTAAAGGTGCGTCGCAAGGGCTACTGGACCCTGTTTGTCGAGTTCCCCAACGATCGATATGCAAATCACCGAGAAAGGTTGCTTATTCCTTTAAGCGTTAAAAATCAGCTATTTTTCTAGATATTGCATTTCTCGCGATTCATACCAAAAATGGGTGATGGAGGTCTACTACTACCCTAGGGTCCGTCGGGTTTCCAGGTAAGTCCAGACCTAAGCCTAAGCCTGCGCGTAAGCCTAAGCCGAAGCCAACAAGATTTGTAGATTGGCACAAGCTGGGGCGGCGGATGGAGCGCCATCTACGACGCCTACGCAGTCGTCATCGCTTTAACTCATCATCTTGACCACGACCAGAGTATCCGGAGAAATACAGGTAAGATAGAGAGATAGAGAGAGAGAGAGATAGTGTGAGAGAGAGAGCGAGAGAGAGAGTCTAGCGGTTTGACGAAAAGCCAATTCATTCCTCGTTCCAGGCCCCTTCCACTGCCACCAGCTCCCCGAGCCGCAGCTCAGCTTTAAAGCCCACCGAGATATACTGTAGATTTTCAGTTCAATTTTTAATTTTCGATGCACGCCGTAAGCATTCTCTAGACGTTTCTAGCCCCGCGCCATTTTCCAATTTATCTTTTCTCCTTCTAAAGATTGTGATTTTTGAGATCCGGTTGTGAGCCCTGATACTTAATGCCAGCCTAGAAGGGCTGGCTCTTCTAAATTTTTCCCCAATTTTTTTACGTTCCCCGTCTAGTGTTTTTGGATGCTTATAGGATTTGGAAGGGAAAACCAGAGATGGGATAGATGGCGGAGATTCTTTGGGAAGGTTGGGAAAGCTTAAGCCTGAGCCTGAGCTAAGCCTAAACCTAAGCTTAAGCTAAGCCTAAACCTAAGCTTAAGCTAAGCCTAAGCCTAAGCCTAAGCCTAAGCCTAAGCCTAAGCCTAAGCCTAAGCCTAGGCCTAAGCCTAAGCCTAAGCGTAACCCTAAGCCTAAGCCCAAGCCTAAGCCTAAGCCTAAGCCTAAGCCTAAGCCTAAGCCTAAGCCTAAGCCTAAGCCTAAGCTTAAACCCTGAAACCCGGTTTTTTTCTTCCAAATCCCTCTGAATTTACTTTGAAAACCGTTTAGCATTTATCCAGCTGGTTCCCCACCCCCTCTTTCAGCCCTTTTTACCTGTCAACCCCATGTAAATATTTATTTTCGCAACGAATTGTCTTTTGTTCCCTGATATCCAACTTTTTTTAATTTTGCGTCTCAACGAACAACGAATAAATTTTGTCACCTTGCTCGAGGAAGGCAATGCATGATTCCTCGGAATGAATTTTAGAATAGAATGCGACAGGATGCGAATGCTAGATTTCTCCACCTGTCCAGGCTCCGAATCACAATGTTTCGTCACCGTCACCGACTTCTTGGAGTTTATCACGAAACTTCGCCGTTTTTTATTCGGTCCCTTATCGGGAGAATCCAGTGCGGCCATGCGGGTTCAAGACCCGACCCTCCCCCTCTCCCCCTACGTCCAAATGCATGTTTAAAACGGTGTTTGTTTTTCATTGAACTCACGACTACCGAATGTCGTCTATTTTTATCGAAATTTCTCGGGAAGCAGAAGATTCCGTTTTTCTGCTTCATTCGTAATTTTCTCTCTACCCACTCGCTACCCACCTGGCCCACTAGCAGAGGGGATCGGAGGAGCAAATCGAACCTTTTTGCGAAAGGTCTTATTCCTTGACCTAAGTCTAAGCCTAAGCCTAAGCCTAAGCCTAAGCCGAAGCCTAAGCCTAAGCCTATCGATATGGCCGATTTCCCCGCTCGACCTCTGTTAGCCTAAGCCTAAGCCTAACGATGTGGCAGATTTCCATGGTCGACCTCTATTTGCCTAAGCCTACGGTTAGGTCTAAGCCTAGATGCTACGTAGCGCGTTTGAAAAAGCGCAAAAACCTCTTCTAGGCCCAACAAGAATTGAAAAATCTACAGAGTATCGACCTGAGTCTAAATCTATACAGCGAGATGAGCCTCGATGACTCCTCCTCCCGTCCGCGCCATGCCTCCTTACACCAGGAAGACGAGTGGAAACATGGACATCGTCGGAGTCGAGAACACGCTCGGTTCCCCACCGACACGACGGACGAAATGTTCGTTAGGTGGGTGTAGTCCTTAAATTTTACACCGTGATTTTCTTCAGAATCCAGCCATGGGCGGAGCACACCACGGCGAGCAATGGCTTCGTGCCGCAGAACACTGTCAGTTGGCGTACCGAGCAAGCAGTGAGTTCTTCTGCGTCATAGAGCCTTTAATCGGGATGTTTAGCCTACGATACCGGTGCCGCCGCCACGGAAGTCGGCCCTTGGAAGGACAATCGGTAATATTACACAGGTAGGTAGACCTAACCGTTCCTGAATGTTCTCTGCTAGCCTGCCCTCTCCTCTTCCTCAACAATCTCTGCTAGCCTGCCCTCTCCTCTTCCTCAACAATCTCTGCTAGCCTGCCCTCTCCTCTTCCTCAACAATCTCTGCTAGCCTGCCCTCTCCTCTTCCTCAACAATCTCTGCTAGCCTGCCCTCTCCTCTTCCTCAACAATCTCTGCTTAGCCTGCCCTCTCCTCTTCCTCAACAATCTCTGCTAGCCTGCCCTCTCTCCACTTCCTCAACAATCTCTGCTAGCATCCTGTGTCTTCCGAAATTCCGCAGATTTTCAGCGCTGGAACTGGCGTCACTACCTGGCCCTAGCCCTGGTCATCACCCTCATATTGGCCCTTTTTGACCACAGCGAATCTTACTTGCCGTCCTTCACAAGAAGCACGACGTCACCCCGGTCAACATCTACAACTCGACGCTTGGTACGCTCTAAAGGAGCTTGTTTCTCAAACTCATTTAGCCCCACCTCCAACCACAAACTATCCAAACGACGGCTACGGATATGTGCGCGGGTTACAGATGAGGGTCTTCAAAGTGCAGGACAGATTGTGAGTTTTTTAAAGGGTGTCTGCTAGCCTACCCATTGTAGTCAGAACGTAAGCGCAATTCTTAGCATCAGTTCCTGCTCCCAGGAACCTCTGCTAGCTCCCTGAGCTGGAATCAGAGCTCAAATTTTAGTAGAGCTTCTCCTCCCAAGAATCCCTGCTAGCTTGCTTTGGTCTCGAGTCCAAGTATCTCTGCTAGCCTGCCCTAGTCTCCAATTTGAGCATGAATTTAGCTGCAGCCTACTCCCTATGAATCTCTGCTAGCCTGGTCTGGTCTCGAATTCGTCCGCAAATTTGAGCAGCATCTCCTCTTCCCCAAGAATCTCGGCTAGTATGCCAAAATTTCAAGCTTTCTAGGATTCGTTGTCTCCCGTCTACGAGTCTCCCGGCGTATTTCTGGGCCTTTCCGGCTCAGAAATCTACTATTTCGACTCCAGCGACCAAGACAACCCCGGCAAACGTCATCTGAAATCGTGCGGAACAGGTACGGATTCTTGTCGTGTCCTTTCTGTAGATACGGAATGCTTCCACAAAAGTGATAGACGCTTTACGTAACAACGAAATCTACGGAAATTTACCTTGTCCTTTTAAGACGCACCCTGCCGAGCAGCCAGCCTCATCTACTGCTGCTCAAATGGCCTCGACAACTACTGCTCCGTCGCCAACCACAGTCACCTGGCTCACGACGCCTTCCTATCGACGTACAGATACAGTGGCGTGTCCGCGCTCAACTTTTCGACGATAAGTCTCGGCAATGGGACAAAACACCAGGCCAGCTTTGACCGCATTGAGATCCGGGTGAGGCTAATAAAAACATAATGATAAATAACGATTAATTCGCCAAAAGCATAATTAATAATGATAAAATCCGCTGAAAATTTCCAGACCGATTCGGCCAGTGTCGACCAGGGCCCAATACAATGTATCAATTTTGGAAAGAGCATCACTGCTGCGGCGACGGCATTTCAGTAGTTGATCTATTATTTTCAGGCCTTAAAATTTGAAATCGATAGAAATTACAATTTAAAAAATTTTAAACTTAGAAAAGATACTATAAAAGTGAAAACCTTCAAATTTTGGCAAAAATTAGCATTTCTTAGTTTCCAAAGGATTTTATTGCTTTGTGAGTACCGCTGAATCCTCGTTCCATTTGTATAAACTTCATGACTAGCGAAAAACAAACTGCTAAAAATAGAGATACAAAATTCCGGAAGAGTTGAAAGGATATAGCGTTTCCTGAAGAAGTACAGGATTACCTCTAGTCTAAGCGTTCATAAAACGAATAATATCCCTGTAATAACTATCTGATAGCTTTTAATACGTTTATTAGAAACTATAAACCGCTTTTTCTAGAGCTTCAGCCCAAAAAGTCGATTATCTTGTCGCGGTCTCCGCAGATGGCGATCTCTACATCAGCTCCCAAGATGATGGCGGAGAAATTGTAGAGAGATCACGATCAATTGACGCTCTCTTTATCTAACTACCTCCCCGCTGGACCCCCTATATCCCTAGCTGTAGATCCTAGTAGATGACACGTCCATATTGCCGTCACTTTTCGAGAAAAGTCCATTTCCTCCTCTATCCACCTCCTCCATCTAAACTCCACATTCTCGAGAGTTGCTACTTTTCCCTCATCTTCCCCATCTCCATACGCAGGTCTTTTTGGGCAAATGAAATCTTTTATTTGTGGTATGTCACCGAGACGAACAGGCTAGGCGTTATAGATTTTGAAATTCGGTAGCCAATCCCTAATAATGGGCTTGGTTGTGATTCCTGTGATCTCAAAATGCTAGAAAAATAGAAACAGGTAAAGAAGTGTAAGTGGCATAATAAATATTTTATTTTTGATTAAATACGCTAAATACGTTCGATTTAAACTTTTTTGAACCATTTTTCAACTGAAAGGGCTTTTTCACATACTACACCATGGACCACAAACTCTACGAGCCTTACCATAATTACTGGCGTCACCGAATCTCCTCGCTCTTCAACTTCAAAAACCAACTTTCAAGATGATTTTCTCGTTTCTTGTTTTTAAAATTATTAAAATTTCTTTGCATGAAAATATAGCTCAAATACTTTACGAATAAGCACGACCTCGAAAAACAGGCCCTTCAATTGGAGGAAGAACTGGAAAACCAGGGTCCGATGTCCTCATACGGAAGAATATTTGACCGAGGATGGGATACGCCTAAAATCCTTTGTTCCAAATGTTAGAAAGGCGGCAGCGATAAGATAGAGGGTAATTCTTGCGATTCCGGGTCCCCACTTTACGATTTTTCTTAGGAAGAAGAAGCGCAGCAGCAAAAATAGTGCGACCTGTCGGAGATGCGGCTTTTTGGGTGACCCGAAAGGTTGATGAAAAATTCAGTTTTTATAGAAGTAATGGAGGCGCAAACCAGCGGGCCCGATGCGGCATTTCCACATGTGCATGCCGTACCGATATATGAATTTTGTACGCTTGAAAATCAACTAATTAGTGAAATTAGGACATTTTAGATCTCGAGGATGAGAACACCGATTTCGGGTTTACTCGACAGAACAGGTTTTGAAGAGCTGCATACGAGGCGAGAAGTTGGCGGTTAGTAAGCGTTGTATGTAAGTTTGTTGTATAATTCATTTATCGCTGGTTGAATGCTTTAAAAATCAAATTTTCAGGGCGTGTTGGTGGTTCAAGCCGGGAAATACTCGATCCGACCCTCTATCGAGATGATTTAGGAAAAACTCGACAGGCTCTACGATATGGACGCTATCGAAAAGCGAGCTCATCCCGCCAATGCTTACAGCGCAGGTTTGGAACATAAATTGTTGAAGACTTTTGATTGGAATGACTTCTTCTTGCCCGACGGTCAATTCGGCGAGCTTTTGGCGGCCAAGCAAGCGCTCGACCGAGAAGATCTTATCGATGGACGCCGAGTCCCGAAGATTTTGAGGTCAAGCTGACAGAGGTGAAGCCGGACATTGGCGACGAGGAGGAGAAGGCTAACGAGACGGTTCAGGTATA